CTTTCTCACAATACAAGAACTCATGGGCACTCCATGAAATTGCTGAGCGGTCGGGTTAGAACGGATAAGAGGAAGTACTTCTTCACCCAAAGAGTGATTAACACTTGGAATTCACTGCCACAGGAAGTGGTGGCGGCTACAAGCATGGACGGCTTCAAAAGGGAATTAGATAAGCATCTGGAGCAGAAGTCCATCAGTGGCTATTAGCCACAAGGTATAGATAGGGGCTCTGGGGCAAGTGATGCTCTGTCATCTTGGTGCTTGGGGGGGGGACAACAGTGGGAGGGCTTCTAGTGTCCTAGCCCCACTGCTGGACCTCCTGATGGCACTGGTATTTCTGGCCACTGTGTGATACAGAGTGTTGGACTGGATGGGCCTTTGGCCTGATCCAATATTGGCATCTCTTTGTTCTTATGTTTACCAGTTCTAACCTGACCGCTCAGCCATTTCATGGAGTGCCCACAAGGAGTTCGTGTCTTGTGAGAACGGGGGGAAAGTCAGGGGGGGATGAAACCAAAACGAAGGCAGCTTGGCGACACAGCTGTCTGGTCACCTGACCCAGGGCACCAATGACTTGGCCCCCTGCATTATTGATTTGGTATATATTTCTATTCCCCTCCTTCCTTCCACGGAGTTCAGGGCAGCATTTGTGGTCCCCCCCTCCCCTTTTCTCCTTGCAAGAAGCCTGGGAAGGGCGAGAGAGTGTGACCTGCCTACGATCAGCCAATGAGTTTCCTGGTGATCAGGGACTGAACGCGTTTTCCCCAGACGCGCTCCGATCACTGCAGAAGAGTGGTTCTCTATAACCAGTGTAAAAAAAACCTCCTTGTCTTTTCTCTGACTTGGTTGACCCTTGTGAAGGTTTAAGTGCCGCTCACTCTCTGCCTCTAACCTACCTGGGCCTCCCTCCCTGCCGATGGCTCACTGATGACCATCTCAGCGTCATAAGAACATAAGAGACGCCAATGTTGGATCAGGCCAAAGGCCCATCCAGTCCAACACTCTGTGTCACACAGTGGCCAGAAATACCAGTGCCATCAGGAGGTCCACCAGTGGGGCCAGGACATTAGAAGCCCTCCCACTGTTGACCCCCCCCAAGCACCAAGAAGACAGAGCATCACTTGCCCCAGAGCCCCTAGCTATACCTTGTGGCTAATAGCCACTGATGGACCTCTGCTCCATATGCTTATCTAATTCCCTTTTGAAGCCATCCATGCTTGTAGCACCCACCACTTCCTGTGGCAGTGAATTCCAAGTGTTAATCACTCTTTGGGTGAAGAA